TGAAAAAGAGAAGTGTAAAATGATATCCCTAACGAAACAGCCGAATATGTTCGATTTAAATCGAAAAAAGTGTACGGAATAGTATAGTAGGATTCCTGACAGAAAATGACAGCAACCACGAAGCCCGAATGTTTCCCCATGGGAGGTGAAAATGAAAGCAACTTGGAAAATGTGGGAGAAAATCGTATGTATAAAGAATACTTTTTATTTCGTGGGAAACGTTGGGAAACGATATTGACGAAAATCGAAGCGGATCTCCATCGAGTACTAACGGCCACTGGAGATCAAATCAGGCCAAGTGTGTGACTGGACTAGCACGTGTTGAAATTCGGTACGGTACTGGGCACTTCAGAGATCTCTCTTGAAGAAGCCATCAAGCGATGCTACTGATTTTAAGTTCAAGTGGCGCGCTTACCACTCGCGTGGGCCGGGTTCAAATCCCGGGTCGACTCCCGCCTAGGCCAACCAAGCCCCCATGGGACGGTGAATTGGTACCAGATTCGTCTGGGAGGATAAAACACTGACTTGTACATCGGCTGGCCCCCGCAAGTCATTGTATAGGCCACATCGCATTCAATAAGCCACTACGATTCTGAATGGAAGTAGAATGCGTGCCGCATCCCACAAAGGATTGATCAACGGCGAAGACTTTATCTTTTTATGTAATAACTGAAGAACCTATTTTGACAACAAGTCTATCACGGCCTCAGAACATTCCAGTTCTACAAAAAGGATAAAATGCAATTTTAGGTAATACATGTTCGCTGCGAATGCTGATGTGAGCCGTATCAGTGAGGGGGGAGGGCGGTTGTTTGACGCGAGCCAGCCCGTTTTCCATCAATTGTGCTCGCTTGCCAGCTCTTGCCATTGGTACGGGACTGGTTGGCAAATTCAGCCCACCTGATGAGCCCAAGCATCCGCAGCGAACTCCACCCTAATTTCTAAAGTATAGGGTGCACTCGTATATAGAACGCACCTTCGTCACGAGGGTTTCCCACCGGATCTCCTGGTGCTCTTTTTCATGTCCTTGTCTTTGGAAGTGGCATGATCGATTAAGAAGTGGTCAACCATTAAGAGCTGCAAAAAATATGCCAGAAGAGGCTAAAAAATAGTTGTTATGCGTACGAACTTGCAGAGCTCACACGCGTTTCTGGGCTCTGTGCGAGTTTAGAGGATTTAAAGGGCAATGTGGCATGATAATTTGGTTACTGGGCCTAACCAATGTACTATGCCCCAGGGCGTCAATAGTGGGGGGGATGGCCAAGAACGGACGTGAAACACAGTCAAAATCCTGCGAAGAAAAAGTCTTCGTTCTCAATGAATTGAAAATCAGTTCCGGACGAGTTTCCCGTAGGCATTTTGCCAATAACCACTACCGAAGATACGGCTGCATATGTGTTGTACCCATATATCCATGCAGCATCACGGTCGCTTCATACCGATGCCTTCGCTTCATAATTTGCTTAGCAAATGAATCAATTCGAGCTTCAGGAACGGTCCCCCATTTTTGGGCGGGCGGGCATGGTGGGCGTTCGGGTCGGTATGTTGTGACTTGATAGGGCACTTATAAGGGTACCCTTGGAAAGGGAGTAACGCAGCGCCTGCTCAGGGGCGCGGAATTCCATCCTGCCAGGCGTATTAATCCTACTCGTCTTTAGGGATTTATCGTAAGAACTGCCTTTAACGATTATCTCTTCCTGTAGAAAGCATTTCTCTGAGAATTTATTTCACTAGGATGCCTCGAAGCGGAACCGCAGGTGGACAGATCCTTGAGAACTTGGCGTGCAATCCCGTCATAATCTTAACGCCCTAACCCCAGCACGTTCAAAAAAAACCCGTAAGGTCGCGTTCATACTTTGCGACTCGAAAGAGTGGGGAGTCCGGGAGAACAAGAATGCGCATTAAAAAAAGACGGAATTATCGACAACTGTCGCTAGGGAATCGGGAAATAGAAGCGTAGGAGGACTGAACAAAGCGTGGCCAAAGGGAAGCATGACTATCCGCCCAGCGAATTGGGAACGTAGAAGAATCAATCTGTTATCCATCTTTTCCGTCATCCCTCCTTCCTATCTCCTCTCAATTTGTCGATATTTACACGTTCCGTTGACTCGCATTCTCCCGATTATGACTCGCAAAGTATGAACGAGAGTTGCGGAAGATTGTCGCTCATAGCGTAAGAGCAGGAGAGGTGTAGGGCAGTCAGCCAAGACACCGTACTCCAAGGATCAGGAGTTCCAGTGGCACGCAGAAAAATTCCTAACTATTGATTTCCTTCCCGTTACACGCGCACCCTGCCCGTAAGGGGCGGAGCCAAACTTTCGCTTTTGATAGTCTATCGGAGGTGTTTACTGCCCTCTCCTGGCTCGATGGCACTTCCCGGGAGTTCATATAAAAGGCTATACCGAAAACTCTCCCACCTCAGGACGTGTCCAAGACTCAGCAGAACCTCCCCCCCCCCCCTTGCTGCCCTTTGGAGGTGAATTGTTCTTTCACCAACCATAGACCACAATAAAACCGCACATTTTTATTCTTTCAAATGGAAGGAACGTTTCAGCAATGATTAAGAAAAACCGTAGCAACAGATTAGATGATTGGTTCAACTGACAAGCTGTGACAGCACTGATACTGATACGAAAAATAGTTGAGAACACGTACAAAACAACAAAATAACAATAATAATAATTATATAGTTCAGAGACCACAACGAATTTCTCGGAACACAGATCATTCAGCTACATTGGAGGCAACCAATGGTTAAGATTTGCTACGCAGAGAGTTTCATCCAATCTTCAGTATGGTTTGTGCCTGTCTCCACCGAATCCACCACGACCGCCTCGCATAGCACCTCCACTGCCGCCACCAGGGGGGCCGCCTCCTCCTCCTCCTGCGCCGCCTCCTTTCGGAGCGCCGCACTGGTTGCAAGCCTGGAAAAATCATTTTGTTAACGCGACCACGATAAACAAGCCATATGCAAGGATGGTCATCAGATGACGTGAACAATAGTAATTGAAGTATTACTTGTCGGAAGGCAAAGTTGTTATTTCCACACGATTCACAGGCCCAGTCATTGCTGCGCTGTTCCATGTTAGGGTTTCCTGCGCCACGACTGAACCCTCCACGACCACGTCCACCTAGGATAGAATTGTTGATGGCATCTAAGTGCCTCGGATGCATCACATGTTGATTTCTTTTAGGCTGCATTCATAGTTTACGGGAGCGTCCACAGCGTCAACCAGCGTTCTGAGCGAACGCCGGCGCCTATGAGAGTATAAATATCGATCTAGCGAACGCCAGCGTCCACCAGCGCTTCCCAGCGTTCAGCCAGGAAAGGAGAATATGGGGAATTAGGACGGTGGCAGACAGCTGGAATAGGCGTCGTGAAATTGCGCCGTGTGCAGTATAAGTGTTAAAGCATAAAATAATCAGGCAATCTTGATGTACGGTGCAGCGCAACTGTACTGCGCGAGTACCCAAGCCCCAATTTCACGACCCAGTTGTCTGACCCCTCCTACCTCTCCATACTTTCCACTCTTGGACGCTGATGTACGCTGGCAAACGTTGGTGGACGCTACCGTTAGCTAGATCGATACCGGTCACGGACGCTGCCATACACTGGCGCGTTGACGCAAAGTATGAACGCAGCCCTATAAGACTAGATCTCAACATGATGCTCACCCCTACCACCTGAGTCTCCTCGGAATCCACCACCGCCACCTCCGCGGCCACCGCCGAATCCACCATCTAAAATAATTATGTGTAGTTTATGGATCCAGTTGGCAATTATCAAAGAACTTACCAAAACCACCTCGTCCTCCTCTTCCACCACCGCCGCGGAAACCGCCTCCGCCACCGCCTCCACCGCGTCCTCCTGGTCCACCTGCTGGATCCATTGGTTTGAATTTAGCGATGGAAATATTCATTGGCCGATCACCACCAGGGAATGGTTGACCGTTATACATTTCAATACAGCGTTGGGCTATCTCAGCGCTAGCGAAAGTAATCATACATTCTCCCTGAAACAAACGGCTTCGTGATTGACCTAAATTGCTGAAATAGAAGAACATACTTTTGGTTCTCCAGTTCCTCTGTCTGTGTAGATTTTTATTCTCGGTTGACCAGTTCTGTCATTCTTAGCGATATCTCCAACAGTATTGAACACATCGGCAATATACGTCTCATTTGCTCTGAAACAATCTCAATAGATTTCGTGTATCAAAGCCCACCAGTTCCCCCCCCCCCCCTAGAAAAAAAAAGAACAAAAACATACGTTACTGGTACACCTTGAACGAACACAGTTTCCTTGAGCTCAACTCGATCATCCGATCGTCCAAAATCGCCGCCTCCTCCTGCTCCTCCTCCTCTATCGCCTCCGAAGCCACCACGGCCTCCACGGTCTGAACACAGTAAATTAATCCTTAAGAAACAGAAGTACTATTTCGAGGGACCAAAACGAATGGTGTGAGTTTGCGGACTTGTATGTATCTGACACATCCAACGGAACTATACTACACTCAAAAATGCTCCTTCTCCACCTATCAGATTGTTTAGAGGTATGACAGCCAGTGGCAATATGACCGATATCAATGCTCATCGTATGGAACCACGAAATGTAATTGACACAACTGGGAAGAACAATAGGGAGAAACGCTTCAAGCACGCCTTTAGTGAAACTCCCTCACATCCCTGACGTACCAGGGAATCTCAGTTAGGTTACGAGAAAAACCAACTCAAAAATTTGCTTGCAAGAGACTGACACTTACCTTACTGCATTTTCTGATTAGAACGGCGATAGCAGATAGATAATGAGAAACGCATCGGGAGGAGAAACAAGGTCATCGCAACCTGCCCACCATTGGACAGGCAGGTCACGCGGCAAGCTGTGGACATCGAAATGAATTCAGCGAGCAATCTGCTTTTGAAACTGAATTCAATCACGGACGCGAATTCACGCCAAGTGATATTGATCGTCCCCGCGCCATTGATATGCAAACCCGAGCGAACGAGCGCGACGTCACTTCCCATGCCCACCAGAGCGCCATATCACGATTGTCACGGACGCGACGTGCTACGGCAATGATACAATAATGCGCGCCCATAGTGAGCAGCCCCCCCCCCCCTTAAAAAAAAGCCTAAAGGCAAATGCCACGATAAATCCGCAAGAACGTGTAAAGTTTATACGCCTAACAGAGCGGATTAGGCCCCCCCCCCCCAACAGGAATACGCACCGCGCCCGTCTGCCCACAAATGTCTAACAGAATGAAACGGTTGCGGCGCCGCATGGATATATGAGCGCATGCGGGCAGCCTTATCTACCGTAGCGTTTACTGGCACGATGCCAACGAAAAACTCGTGGACACCGTTTTGAACGCGTCATGTAGAACAAAGGCTTGGTATGGCAGGTTTCTGACCGTTTCACTTCAGTTTTCTGTCATTTTCTTCACTATATAGCATCCTCGCTATCATTTTAGACCGAGTACCAAACTTATCATGGCTTATTCCTTTAATCGCATCGGATGAGAGACGAGAGGAAATTTTGGAAGTGGGAAACCACCTGTTAAGGTTGAAACCATCTGCTTCATCCATTATTTCACGTCATTTCAACGACCTTTTGCGAAACAATAACGGCAGTCCACTATGGACTCCACACTTCAAGTCAAGAACGACGAAAATTTTGAATTGACCGCACAGCGCATTTTAGCATGTTAAGCTTCTCTTGGAATCTCAATTTCACGTACACTTTTTTTCTAGTGTTTGCTCATTCTTGACCATAGAACTTTGTTGTAAGCAAACTTCTCCGGTACACTTTCTTTAAAAAATAAGCCTTCCTAAAACTTATTTAACATCTTGGTACACCGGCTGCACACACAATTTTGTCACCATTTCAACTGATTTCTTATTTTGATCACTTTCACCTTTCTGTACTAAACAGCTTTACCACTTTGTTTTCACATCAAGCAAAGACCATCACACAGTATCTTAGGAGTAAACTTTTTTCTTGGAGCGTTGAGAAGGAATACAAGCCTATGGGTAATCGAATTCGACATAGCAAAGTCCGCAAGTACACACCATCCGATAAGGCCGTTTTTATAAGTGATTTTATTTATATATTATTAATGAATGAGATTTCACACCATCAATCCCCGTCAACCACTGAAAACCTGACCGCTCATAAATGCATGTGACTTCACACCTGGTAACTGACTTGTTTAATAAAAAACTATCGAACCCTAATAGCCCTGATTTTCATATACTCATAATTACAAATATATCACCAAGCTCTGTAACTGTAGCGTTTGACTAAAATGAACACTCTTACACATCCCTGATTTTACTATGTGGAACCTACT